AGGAAGGAAGGAAGGAAGGAAGGAAGGAAGGAAGGAAGGAAGGAAGGAAGGAAGGAAGGGAAAGAGAGAGAGAGAAAAAGAGAGAGAGAGAGAGATGTAGCTGCTAGCCACTCTGGCAGCAGTAGCAAGTGCAACGTAGGGCAGCATGTTCTTTGTGCATGCAGTTGTAACCTGTTAAAGATACCCAGAATTCCCAAAGTAGAAGCCGAAAGGGAAATATGGTGCATTATGTGCTACAAATATGGCTGTGCTTCATTACTGCAGTACAGGATTAAACACATCAATCTTGACCATTCTTCAAAGACTGAAGGTCAGCCTCATAACATTTTTTTCCTCACTGTTGGGCTTTTGACATTTTGGGTCACTTCAGCTACATTTATGACGGGCAAACCTTCAACAAAGCATCACTTAACTAAGTTTTTTTTAAGAGCTCATAAAGGTAAAGGGAACACTTCTTTAGAGAACAAATATGCTGGAGATTAACTTTAGAGTTGTTCTGTTTCATCCTAAATTTTCTTCTGCCTCTATTCTGCAGTGAAGTCACAATACATCTGTGACAGAATAACTCCCATGGCAACAGGCTGACATCATAAACACCAGATTAAGACTTGGCTGCAAAAGCCAAAGGAGATGATGGGCTGTGAAGAAAGAGGCTATAATTCAAACAAATATCTTCCATAATAGCTCTGGGAATACTAAACATTACTGGCCAAGTAAATTGCTTTTTGTATAAGTGTTCTCTTTTCTGAAGTTTGCCCCAGTGTGAAAGTCTCTCTGTAAGTCAGAACCTTAGCGTTATTTTATGTACTGCTCCGTATTTAATAATCTTATGTTTCAGACATTAGTCTGTTACCATGGGAATGACAGCAGCACAAATACAGGATTACGGCTATCAAGCAGGAGAAAAGAAATTATGAATAAGCCTCGTTACGTTCAATAATTAGCAGCTACATGGAAAAAAAAACAAAACCATGAATTTAGGTTGATGCATTTATCTCAGTGTTTGAATACAACTCTCTGAGTGTGTTATTGCTTTAAAATGAGATTCTAACAAACTGCCAAAAAAAAAAATTCTTGACTAACAGTTGCTACTCACTGCTGTAATTTTAAAACTCATCCTATTCATTTCTTTCCTTTTTTTAATTTTTTCCTGCAGAAGACCAGTACCTAATGCATAATATACAAGAGGTCACGATGCATGCTGGATCTTCAAAGAATATGCTGGGGCAAAGTATGAAAATACTGAACATTCCAGGTTTCTCTTAGTCAACTGCAAATGGAACAGTTTCCGGGAAGGCTGTGCTTCCTTCTCCCACAATGAAAGATTGCATACAGAGATGGAGAATACCACTGCTAAACATGAAGAATCTCCCTAACCCAAGAACAGATGGAAATGAAACAAGTTATCAGAAAAACAATGGCTTGGAATTCTACTAGTAAACACATATAGCAACCTCAGACAGGTCTTCCTCCTTCTTAAGAGTTTGTCTCATCATCTGAGGTAGAAATAAGATATGAATGTTTAACTAGACTAATGTGATCTACTTATTTTTTTCCTAAGGTGACAATAAGGCACATTGTGCCATGATGTTCACATGAATAACTAAAGAAGTCTTCCATGCATTAATTATAGGAAATTTACTAACTGAAGAAAATGGTAACAAGATGTTGAGATAACCAAAGACCACCAAAGCAGTATTTCCACCAAAGCAAACATATTCCTTACATATTTGGGGAAATAGGCACATTGCCGAGCTTCTAGTGTTCTGTGGAATCTGCCACCCTCTACAAGAATAGCAGAACTCATTTTCCCATCTAAAGTCAGGTGACAAGAACAAAATCTTAATCTACTATTTAATCAGGAAGCACTTGCCTAAGATCAACAGTTCCTTGATGCTATCAGACGTCCCAAATCTCCTCCTCTTTGGGGTATCTGCACTTATGGCAATGGCACAACACATCATGAGAAGAAAGTAATTTTAGAACATTCCATCCAAATTAACTGGTTGTGAATAGGCTCTGATTAAAATATAAAGGGCTTTTAAAATAATTTAAAATGATTCACTGGAACTAATTTGGAGATATTTTAATCTCTGAATGTGCAATGAACTGTAGTCTCCCTTGGCCTTAGCCTCTCCTGAGAGAAAAAGGGCCATTTCTAGTTAGGACTTACGCCACTGAATAAGAGGTATTTGAGCCACACAAACGAAAATGACCATGCCTGCCCTGCTGGTGTCATTTCTGATTTATGTCTTTCCAACTCAGGCACAATTCTCTTGCATTTTCAAAGTCAAACTGTATATACTTCCTCTTCTCAGTGGATGGATATTGCTGTTCCTCTGTTTACTAGGGCCAGAGAGCTAGACAATTTCAAATACAACAATGTGATAATTATTTAAAGAATCACAAGAGATCAAACAGATCTCAGCTTACATTCTTTCCTCAATTGTTTAAATTCCATTTTAGATTAAACAAAGAAATATTTTCCCCACAAAATGTTCTAACATATTCACAGGGATTCAAACTAAGGCCACTTGTGAAACAATACCTAAGCCACCCCTGAAGGAGGTTTTTCTAATGTGACTAGAAAGTTCAAGGACTTGTTTGCTGCTCTGCAAAGTGCCTTCTTAGACACACTACAGATTCCTTCACAAAACCCTGTGGCGCCTGGTCTCCAAGAGTCTCTGAATCTCAGCCAAAGACTCTTCAGATACCAGGCACAGAGTGGGTCTCTATTTTCCCAGTATCTGGATACCCAGCTGGAAAGAAGAATGAAGAATAAATTCTGAATCCCGGAACCCTGTGACAAGCACAGATATTCCTTGATTTAATCTTCCTGAACATCTGCTGAAGTAGTATCAACTGTAGCTATTTAATAAATAAGGAAATTGAGAAAGGAAAAGGTACCTGTTTGACCTATCACCCAATTACACATTTAAGAATGGAACCTATGCAACTTTAGAACCCAAGTACTTTCTGCTATGTCGTTACTGAGACTTGTCTTCCTGAAAGCAGGTACCCTGTCTGTTTAGTTTTCTGTGTAATTTCAAAGACAAATACAAATTGTTCTTAAAGACACGGGTGTAACAAAGGAAAAAGGCAAAGGGCTTGTGGATAAATAGCTACTTTCTTTTGTTAAGCAATTCCCCTTACTAAGACAAGACATCTACTTACTACCATGGCAGTGGAGAGGAGGGATAGAGCCTTAACCATCCATTCTTTCTGAAGTTGATGCACCCAGTCATAAGACTGTCACTTACCTAGAAGAAAGATGAGAGAAAACACCATTATGGTAAATGTAGACATTTGCCTCCTAACAGAATCTTTATCTAAAACACTAAAATATACTTCCATTTTATAATCAGTATATACTAAACACAATAGTATGAGAAGAGCTTTTCTCCCCTATCTCCCCATTTCATTCTTTGTTGTTGAGTGCTTAAAGTTCCATTCTTTTTCTCACCTTAACCTGGAACAGCCTTTATCTTTTTTTTTATCATTAGCTTAGTTACCATCAGTTTATTATAAAAGGGAGATATGGAAATTATTTACATGATGAAAGATCTCAGAACTTCCATGGAATGGGCAGCTTCACAGGATGCCATTTTAGTGATGTATTCACTCTACATACTTCCCAAGAATGTCACCATCCCTAAATAAGAAATAATCTTTGTCATCTAGAACTACTTTGGTGCCTCCATATTCTGGGAGAAGAACTTTATCACCCACTTTCACACTAACTGGCTGAATCTCTTCACCTTTTCCTTTAGAGCCCGAGCCCACAGCCACTACTGTGGCTTGCAATACTTTTCCTTGAGACTTTTCTGGAAGCATAATGCCTCCTTTGGTCACAGTTTCAGCTGCACTCCTTTCGACCAGCACTCGGTCAAACAGAGGCATGAACTTCCTAAATGCTTGTCCGGCCATGACTCTCCGCGGTCGCCACTCCCAGCCTTTATCTTTTTGAGAGAATGAAACATCTCTTAAAAACAGATGAGTTCTCCCTTCAGAAAATGACACTCAGGTACCTCTTTTCATGCAACATTGGTGGGTCCCTGTCCAACCACTGCCCCCACTGATCAAACAATGAATGTCTACCTGACAGGAGACTTCCACAGACTGCGGATTTGCTTCCAAATCACGTGTGTGAGCCTTCAGTAAATGTCAAAGATCTGTTACAATATGCTATATCTACCGAATTTTAAAATATACATTCTTTCAAATGGCATGTATACAAACAAACAACAACAACAACAAGCTGGGTAGCAAACAAAGTCTTTAGGAATAGCACAGAGAGGTCTAGTATTTAGAAGGCCAACTGAACTGTTGGTTATAAAATTCAAAATCCAAGCCAGTAATAGACACAACAAACAAATAATGACCAGGACCAAAAGGTGTGTGTGTGTGTGTGTGTGTGTGTGTGTGTGTGTGTGTGTGTGTGTGTGTGTGTGACAATGTTTTTTTTATTCGTGTATTAACAGGCAATAGCAATAGAATGAGACAAAAAAAAGTATATATGGAAAGTTACTATAGGATAAGATAATATTCTAAAGCAACAAGAAAAAAATTAATAATGCATATATAATTCATATAACATACAAGAATGTATCCCAAATGTACTATAGATAGATACACAGTAAGTATATGAGAAGATACTCCACATACTATGTCCCTTGGAAACTGCAGTAGAAACGGTAAGATACCACCGCACTCCTACAAGAATGGCCAATGCCTAGAATCTGTGACAGCACCAAATGCTGGTGAGGATGTGACACAGTAGGTAGGAGCTTACTCACTGCTAGTGAGGATACAAAATGGTTCCACCACTGTGTCAATTTCTTACACAATAAACCTGCTTTTATAATCTAGCCATTATACTCCCTGGTATTTACCCCCCAAAAGTTGAAACCTATGTCCACACAGATACCTGGATGCAGATGTTTAGAACAGCTTTATTATAAAAGGAAAGGAGCGGGGCTGGGAAGGTTGCTCAGTGGTAGAGCGCTTGTCTTGCATGCCTGAGGCCCTGGGTTCGATTCCTCAGCACCACATAAGCAAAAAGAAAAAAGCCGGAAGTGGTGTTGTGGCTCAAGTAGTAGAGCGCTAGCCTTGAGTTGAAGAGCTGAGGGACAGCGCCCAAGCCCAGAGTTCAGGCCCCACGACTGGACCCAAAAAAAAAAAAAAGGAAAGGAGCTATCAACCATGAAAAGATATGAAGAAAAGTTAAATGTGTATTTATAAGTTAAAGAAAACAATCAGAAATAGCTATATAGTTAATTCCAACTCAATGACATTCTGCAAAACTCAAAATAGTAAGCTCAGTGGTGGTTAGAATAAGGAGAGAAAGAGGGAGGAGAGAAAAAGAGAGGGAGGAGGGAGGGAAGACTTTAGAAAGAGAGGAAGGGCAGCCAAAGCAGGCAGGCAGTGCTAAGACAACAAATATCAAACAGGAAAACAAAAAAGATCCTTATTACATGCCACTCATAAAAATTCCTGGTAGGTTAGCTGAAAAAAAAATCTCAAATTTTTACAATAAAAAATGAATAGAGAGGAAGGACATTTTTATGACCTTGAAGAAAGCTTTTTAAAAGAGGCACAATACAAAAAGATACAACCATAAAGGGAAAGACTAAATCTGCCTACATTAAAATTAAAATCTTTCACTCAACCAAAGCTAGCATAAACAAAGTAAAAAGACATAAACTTGAAATGCATATAAGTTACAAAGGATTAGTATTCAGAACAGAAAGAGTTTCTAGATATCAAAAGGAACAAACCAGTCCAATAGGAAAACAGACAAAAGATCTGATCAGGCAACTGACAGAAGAGAAAACCCAAATGGCCAACAAATGTGCACTGAAACTAAACCTTACTAGGCAGAAATGCAAACAGAGACCAAAGGTTATTTTTGCCACTATCTAATTCTTATCTGGCAATAACAATGCTGGAGAAAATATGAAGCAGTGGAATCTCTCACAGTGCCTGAGACTAGCACTGAGCAACATGATCTTGGATAACTTCATCTAGGAACCAAGAATGCCAAGCAGCTCCAGGTTTAGCTTTCAGGTTTTACCCTGGAGAAACTGCTGCACATGTTCAAAAGTTGAAGGCACATAAGAAGACACGGTTAAGAATGCTCACACTTTCACTGAGGAAACATTGGACAAGATCTGGAACCCCAAACAGGTAAAAATCAGTGGTACAGTCACAGAATAAAATAATATATAGCAATGAAGATTAAAAAGCAGAGGTACATGCGCCAAGATGAATAATATTTATCACAAATAAGTATGAAAGTAAAGCATCAAGCTTTAGAAGGTGGTAACACAATAGTTACTTACATGCATGCTCATTTGCTCACTTGCAGTACTGGGGATCAAACCTCAGGCCTTATGCACACTAAACATGTACCTTGTCACTGAGCTACATCCTTAGCCTAGCATGATAGTACATATGGCATTACAATGATTCATATCATTATAGTTTGTTAATTACACTGACATCTACTGCACGCTATGGACAGACATATGTAAGAAAATTACTAACAGAAGCATTGGGCTGATGAACACTAAATTCAGGATTAGGGGCAGGGATGGATACCAGGGTTTGAACTCAGAACCCTGTACTCATTCAGTGGGCTCTCTACCGTGCCTCGAACCTAACATCTTGCTGATTATTTTGGAGATGGAGTCTTTTCTGCCCAGGCTAGCTTTCGATAACAATCCTTCAGATTTCAGCCTCCTGATGGGTGTGAACCACCAGTACCCAGTAGTACGTTTGATTTTTAGGAATAAAACAAAACTAACCCAGATCATGCCTTTACTGAAAAGGAACCAAATAAAGTCAATTTCCATAGTGTTTCTTCAGATAGAGAAGTAGATATGTTACTGTGCAAAGTGTACACTGAACAGCAATATAGAATTATGAAATACCCCATAATTGAGGAAGTATAATAATTGAATAACCCATTCTCAGTGTATATGTATACACACACACACACACACACACACACGCACGAGAGAGACCTGCTCCTTTATTATATGAAGCATGATTAGCATGCCATTGCTACTGCACTTCATGAGTGGAAGTAATGACTGACCACTCAGAACACCTGACCTTGGACAGGCTGAGATAAGGCTAGAAGGAGGTCCTGTGCCATTCACTGCACTTTTCCAGAACTGTGAGTGCTACTGTTAACAAGAAAACAATGGGACCAGAGACCTTAATCCATTTGTCCTACATATGTATTTCATAGTGGGGCAAAAGGGGGAACAAATTAGTTCTAAGGTTCCCTAAACTTGGCTTAGGGATCCATCAATCTGAACCACAGATAAGCTCAACACAAGTCCATGGCTACTGTCAGGAAAAAGCACCACGGTGTGGGGTGTGGACAAGACCATCTCAGAAGAGAGACTGGAATTCCAGCATCTTCCAGTGCGCTCCCAAGATGGCTCCATGGTCACCCAACAATCAATCGACAGTCGACAGTAGGAAGGTCCCCAAGTCCCTGTGTCACCAAGAGGGCAACTGTTATTTCAGACTGAACTTTGGAATGACAAGCTGTCATCCAAAGGCAACAATTCAGTTTTTGTATATTGAATAAAAGTAAGCAATTTTAAATGCCAAATAAGCCTCTTAATTTTCAAAGTTCTGAAATGTGTTCTCCTTGCTCTGAAGGGGAGGAGGTAATTTGCCTGTGGGCATCAAAACTGAATGACATGTTTCAGCCCCAAGCAAAATTTTAAACAGAACCCTTTAAAAAAAAAAAAGTTAAAAGGAGGTAAATGTTGGTACTGGCAAGAGCTTAAACAAAAGCCACACTGTTTCTTATTTTCATGTATGAAGACTGGGATGGAAATAAAGGAATGATGTCTTCCTTTGAAAAAAATAAATAGCACTCCCCTGTGTTAACTTTCCTCCTCCTAAAGAAAATGTGTCAATTTTAGTTCCTCAAACAACAATTTTTCTCCCTCACAGCACAACAGCCATTTCTCCATTCTGTAACTACTTGGCTGCCCCATCCCTTGAAATCTCTGCACAGTTCAAGATCTGGGACTGAAACCAAAAGGAGTAAATCAATAAAGGCTGGACTTCTACCCAACTTCTACCCACTGTGAAGGCCGGCACTCTCCAAAGATGAGAAGCAGCCAAAAGCTGTAGGGAAGTTCACAAGGGTATTGCTCACTGATGTAAAATCCTCCGACACAGAGCTTAATGCTGGTAGCTCATGCCTACAATCCTACCTACTCAGAAGGCTGAGATCAAAGGATCATCATTTGAAGACTGATCAGCCAATAAAGTCCATGAGAATCTTATCTCCAATTAGCCATCAAAAACCCAGAAGAGGAGCTGCGGCTTAAGTGGTAGAGCACCAGCCTTGAACAAAAAAGCTAAGAGACAGCCCCCAGAGCTCAAGCCCCAATACTGGATTGCATATACATCCTCCCCCTTTTACAATGGTACGTTGCATGCCAAAGGCTTCATATAGCTCTTCCTCCTTCCCTTACTCATAATTCACTCGACAAAAATTAGTTAAGACATTCTTCTTATGTTGGAAGGGCAACTCAATGGTCAAAAACCTGAGGAAAAGAAGCCAATGTTATTTCATCTCACAGAAGCTGGGGGAGAATGGAAGATGTTGGCCAGAAAAGACTTATTCCAACTGAAAAGTTGTATTTTGATATTGTTCCAAAAAGAGAATATTGGCAGGAAACCCGAGATTTTGTGCTTTCTGCTGCTACTAAAATGAAATAAATTTTAGTTTTAATCCAGTAATAAGAAACAAACTAAAAGCATCCAGATGGGCAAATACCAAATACAGTGACATAAATGGTCAGCTCAAAGAGGTCAGTGAAGAAGCCAAGGCGGCTATAAAAATACATGAAGAGATGACAATGAAACGTTTCTTAAATCCCGATCTGGTGGGAGGACATAAAGGAATC